ACTGATCTGATCGACTTATCTGCCACGAGCAGCTTGTCACCTGCGACTCACATCTTGGACCATTCGAAGCCATTTGCCGTTGCAAACGCTTCTGCCACGGGTCGACTTGCAATTGTGACATGCTGTGTCTGCACATTGCACGTGTAAGGTGTCTTTCTCTGTGAACCGGCCATGTGGTGACAATGCGAAGAAATTCAACATGTGTACACACACACACACAGGCACAAATCGTGATTTCGCTCCGACCATGGCGCAGCAGCTCATTCGCGACCTGTTGAGAGGAGCGGAGGTCTTTGAAGCAGGAAAGGATCTGGCGAAACAGTACAGGATGATGGCTGTGGTCATCCATCCGGACAAGTGCCATTTGGATGGTGCCGCAAGTGCCTTTCATATGCTCAAAAAAACGTTTGATGAGAAGAACAAGAAAGCCAAAGTCTACCAAGAAGTTTCCGTGGAGGAACTCCTCAGACGTCAGGAGGATGCCCGAGAGGTGTCCCAGGCCATGAAGAACCTGCGTCAAGCCCGTGCACAACTAGCTGCTGAAAGAGACGCAGCACGGAAGAATCTTTTGGAAGGGACTCGAGAGAAGAATCAGAAGAAGAAGGAGAAAATCAAAGAGAAACAGAGGAAGGAGCAGGAGTCTAAAGCCGCTTGGCAGGCGGCCAAGGAGGAGAAGGCCAGGGTCGCAAAAGGCAATCAGAAGAGGGCCCGGATCGAAGGAAACCGCAGAAATCATCCAGGCTGCGCTGCGCACTCTGATGCTTCCGGGTCCATGGACGATATCAACAGGCTTGACCATGCAAAGAAGGGTGATGAGGCGACTCAAGCTGTGGCCCAGACGGAAGCCGTGAATGCATCCTTGGATCCTGCCATGCAGGAGACAAGTGACAATTCGTGGTGGAGCTGCGTCAATGCGATATTTCGGGGCTACTGCCAGTGCAGCCGCTAAACCAGCACAGACGTTTCAAGCAAGCCGTGACGGCATCGAATATTTGCATGCAGACCTTCTGGGTTCTCTGCCGTGACGGTATAAAAAGTCTAAGTCTAAGCCTATGAGATCAGTGGAACTGCCGTAAAGCAGGAATATGCTAAAGGACTGTCTGCTTCGGCTCTTGTCGTGACCAAGACAATCCTCCCAAGTGCATGCGTTACCCGTCGTGACATCCCGTTGGGA